TTTTACTGAGAAAACTTGGGGCTCAGGAGCACAAACACTACACAAGTTTTATCCTCTCAAAACAGGCTAAGGATTTAAGTTTCACAGAAACAGTGGAACAACTTATGGGCATATTCAGTGTTCAACAGTTGCTTTTTCATGTCCGCTACAATCTCAGTCCCACTTTTTCACTGTCAAAATGGTTAAATGTTGCCGTCTCTTCTACTCCAGTAGCTTCATGTCTCACACTTCCCATCTGTGAACTCCCTTCCTCTTACCTGCTTTCCTGATAGCTATAATCTCCAAATATTCAAATGCAATGCCTCTTTACTCTTGCTCCTACTCTCTGTAATCCCTTTCATGCTAGTGGCACTCCCGCCTTATTTGGGTTGAAATGCTTCAAACTCATGAAGAGTGATGCTGACGACTATATAACCTTTGTTGGTTTTGTAAATTGCAAATACGAAAAGTTTCAGCTGCAGTAACTCATAGAGGATCAATTTAAATGTTTGATATTTATTGCTGGACTTCAGTCCTCCCAGGATGCATCATTGACACATGGTTACTATCAAAATTGGACCAGGACAAAAATGTCACGAAAAATCTCATTATGAACTGCCAATCATACAACAGTCCACTAACCCATCTACAAGAAGTAGTGCCTGAGCAGAGGAAAATAAATCTAACACAAGAAAGAAGATTCCTTCTACAGCATGCTGGCATTGTGGAGAATGGAATTTCTCATGCTTCTGTCCATTTAAGAAGCACATATGTCACCAGCATGGATACAAAGAAGGGTTTTGTAACCCTCAGAAGGAAAAAAATGTCCAACACACAGACAGGCACTTCAAATTAGATGTGGAAAAAATTCTAGAAAAAAACCAGGCTCGAAGAAGTCCGAGTCAATTTGACACGACTTCTAACATTACCCTTATCTCACGGTCCATGTAGGAACACATCAGGAGGCTGGCGGTGACAAAAATGAAACAAATAGCTTGGAGTGTATCAGGCAACACTCTTTAGCTGATGGGTGAGTTGACTTGTAATGTTTCTTTCAAAAACAGAAATTTTTTGGGAACATGCTATCTCACAGATGACTCTGAAGTAAACCAAACTTGGTTTGGACTTGACAGAGGAACTAAGTATTTGATATTACACTGGAGCATCTGTTTAACACACACAAACTAACTTGTATTTCTGACATTGAGAAGCAATTCCCAGAAACACTCAAGGCAACATTTTTCAAGAGAGTGTGGGGTTCTGTACCAAGGCAAAGGCTACTCTGAAGTTAAAATCAGATGCAAAACTGATTTTCAGATTTGTCACAACGTTACGGCCATTGTACGCTCCGGCCTTCTTCAGGTGGTTGGAATTTCGAACTGAACCCTTTATTTCGATCACTGGGGTAGACTGTTCTAGTTCCACATGCCATGCTTGATAGATGTCAGTTATCAGTTATCTCCTGCTAATTTTCCCTCTGAAAGTTCTCCACTGCCTTGACCGGGTATTGAACTCCACCACCTGAAGAAAGCCGGAGTGTACAATGGCCGAAATGTTGTGACAAATATGGCGACAAAGATGAGGACAATAGTCCGACTAATGTAAATACTGTACATAATACTTCATCTCAGAAATATAGACAGAATCTGATACCTTATGCTGCACTTTGACATATTAAACAAAGAGTTGAAACGTCTTCAGCAAGCAAGAGTATTACAGCAAACAAATTTCTCTGCATGGAAAGTTTCCATTGTTGTTGTTAAAAGGATGAACGAAAAGGTTAGGATATGTGCTGATTTTTCAACTGGGTTAAACAACTCTTTGAATGCACATCAGTACCCCTTCCTTGTACCAGAAGATCTTTTTACAAAGTTAAATAGTGGAATTTATTTTGTCCAAATTGATTTTTCTGATGCCTTCCTGCAGTTGGAGGTTGATGAGGAGTCCAAAGAGCTTCTGACAATCAACACCCACAAGGAACTATTTAGGTTTAACTGTTTTCCTTTCAGAGTCAAACCAGTTCCAGCTATATTCCAGCAGATAATGGCTGCTATGTTAACTGAAGTTGCAGTATTCATTGATATCATTGTTACAGGTGCAACTCAGAATGAACTTTTGCAATGCCTTATCCAGATTCATAGATACACAAACCAAGACACAAGAAGATTCAGTAATTGCAACACTATCTGTGGAACAAGAATTTATTTCAATACTTGAATCCTACCCACTACCCATTACTTCACAAATTATCTGCAAGGCTATAGTTTCTGACCCATTACTCAAAGAAGTTTTACACTTCTACCATACCAAGTAGCCCAAGGGATGTACAGACGAAAACCTTCTACTCTTCTTTCAGCATCAGTCATCATTGTCTGAGGTTGATGAGTGTATTCTTTTTGCTAAGCATGTAATTGTTCCATCAGCATTACAAAACAATTTCATTTTGGTCACCAGGGAATTAGCCATAGGAGGGAACCACACCAGAAATCCTAGAGATATTCCTTGGAAGCTATAGGGCAACACCAAATCCAAATATCACTAATCAGCTGCAGAAGCCCTGATGAACCAGAAAGTTTGATTACCAATGGATGCCATTCATCCATCTATACACCATTCTCACAAAAGAAATGTGGTGATGAAACAATAGTTCCACAGTCAACCTGAGCTAGCTAAGGACAACTAGAATGGCTCAGAAAAATGAACACAAGGAAATGTTGTGTATTGCACAGGAAATGTCATTTATGAAGTGAATGTACAATCTTACATTTGGGTTCGAAATGTGAATCAGCTATGAACCTCATATCTCAGAGACAAAAGCACAAGATACCTTCTCACTGAGCATTTTCTTAGAAACATTTGATTTACCTCAACAAAGCCCCTGAGTTGAAGAACCTAAGGCTCAACTAAAGAGTTTACCTGGGAGGTCACTTCACATCCAAAACCGAGCAAATCCAATGCAGGTCAACCCACAACAAAAGTTTTACCAGCACACAGCTCAAAGGGGAGATGTTAGGAAGATAACTCCCTATGACCCCCAAAAGTGATTATTGGTCTCGGTGCAACCAAGTGCATTATGCAATTCCAAGATGGCTGCCTTACCATCACGATGATAGCTAATCAATAAACATTATCCACAGTAATCCATGATTAGTACCAAATTGTATATATTGTAATAAACCACCTCTATTATGTTATCAAGAAATTGCTGCATCTTCTTATTTCTTTATTTCCCATGACTTATGCTCTCCACCGGGCATCATAACACTAGGAAAAAAATTGACTATTAAAAATGCATAGTTTAGCAGCAAGGTTAACCTTATTTATGATATTTAAAAATAGGAAACTGAATTTGATTATATAGCATTAACTTTAAGTAACAATATGCATAACAATAATCTCAAGTGGATATGAAAAACAATACTATTTTAAATTTGTATTCTCTGTTAATTTTTTCCTTCACTCTTGAGTTTTTGTGATTAACAATGATGAATAGTTTTTACAAATTGGCGGAAATATAGCATTAATCCACATGCCACATAAAAAAACCTTCAGTATGTATGAAGGTTTATTTCATACCATTTTGTGATATTCTAGTTTTCAACAGTATGTATATATAGATTCACATTCTTTCTGTGAATATAGTGTCTCTATAACGGGGGATTTGTAAGTAAAAATAGAGTTAAAATGCTGAAAAATGTATCTCACAAAAGCATGATTACTCTACAGAGAGAAAATGTGTTTGCATGTGAGTTTTTAAAAATGAGCTCCCTGAGAATGCTCAGCCAGTTTTCATATTGTTAATTCTTGTTCTTTTATTGTTTTAAATCCTTATTCATATTTTCTTTTTCTCATATTGTCTCACATTCAGTAACTTCTTGCAGTTCAGTGTATTATTTATTGCCTTGCTTAGGGTGAAATGATTAAAAGAAAAGAAAAAAAAAAAGTTAGTCTCCAGTATGTATACGCATGTGTCTTTTCAAATGTGAACTACGTGAAAATGCAGAACCACATACTTCACATGAATATGGCTTCTCACCAGTATGTATTCGCATGTGGGATTTCAACATTGAACTGTCTGAAAATGCTGACCCACACTTTTCACATGAATATGGTTTCTCTCCAGTATGTGTTCGTATGTGTGTTTTTAAATTTGAGCTTTGTGAAAATGCTGAACCACACACTTCACAGGAATATGGTTTGTCACCAGTATGTGTTTTCAAATGTATTTTTAAAACTGAGATCTTTGAAAATGCTGAACCACATACATCACATGAATATGGTTTCTCACCAGTATGTGTTCGCATGTGAGTTTTTAAACTTGACCCCTTTGTAAATGCTGAACCACATACTTCACATGAATATGGTTTCTCACCAGTATGTATTTGCATGTGAGATTTTAATGTTGAATTCTCTGAAAATGCTGAGCCACATGTTTCACATGAATATGGTTTCTCACCAGTATGTGTTTTCATATGTCTTCTTAAATTTGAACCTTTTGAAAATGTTGAAACACAGAATTCACATGAAAAAGGTTTCTCACCTGTATGTGTTCGCATGTGAGTTTTTAACTTTGAGTTCTGTGTAAATGCTGAACCACATACTTTACATGAATATGGTTTCTCACCAGTATGTGTTTTCATGTGGCCTTTTAAATGCGAATTTCTTGAAAATAATGAACCACACACTTCACATGAATATGGTTTCTCACCTGTATGTGTCCGCATGTGAGTATTTAAAATTGACCTCTGCCTAAATGCTGAACCACATACTTCACATGAATATGGTTTCTCACCAGTATGTATTCGCATGTGAGATTTTAATGTTGAACTGTGTGTAAAAGATGAGCCACAACTTTCACAGGAATATGGTTTCTCCTCTGTATCTATCAGCATGTGTCTTTTTAAATTTGAACAAACTCTAAATGTTGCATTGCACATTTCACTTGTGTAAGGTTTTTCTACAGTGAGTGAAAATTCCAGTCTGTCTTCATCACATGTATCAGGTTTGTCTCCAGGGTAAACTTGTGTGTCTATCTTTCCCTGAGAAGTCATTTTCAAGGATAAACTGATAATCTATAAAAAAAAAAAAAGAAAAAGAAAGAAACATGTTTAGTGTCTTTTTGTGAATGTATTTTCAGTATGACACTCCAAAATACAAATAAACATATTCTTCTAAAATATTGATTTTTGCTGTAGCTTACAGAGCCTTTCTCATATATTAGTGCTTAAAACAACATAGTAACTGTCATATTCATAAAAGCTAACTCTGTAGGTATCTCACTGTCAGCCAACTTCCTCATTCATGTGATGTTTCAATTTTTGATTTCTAGAAATTATCAGGAAAGTTTATTAAAATGCATACATAAGTGAATAGGCAGTTATAAAAAAATATGGTAGATATTGACTTCCAGTGCATCAAACTGACACTTGCCTGCAGAAAGAATAACATGGTTTATTTGCTGACAGTTACAATTTCTTGTTTAACCCTTCCAAATTCTGCAGTGTTGTGTTTTACCAAGCTATAGCTGGTTTGTGAGTTAATGTGTCAACCTTATTTACAACATACTGAAAAAGAACAGTAATTCTCTTGACTGGTGACTGGTAGCTGGTTTAATGTATCAATCAGGGAACTTTAGTCTCCAACTCTTCTCCTCAAACAAAATCTTTAGCTGATTGACATTTTTTTAAGTGACCAGATTCTGCTCAGGCAGTATCATCTTGCAAGCTGTGGTAGAGTAGGTGCAAAAAATGCTTATAATGTCAGTTACTTTAATCTGTTACATTTCAGCTCTATGGGTTTCTGTGGACAACTTATGGATGACTCTTAAAACTTCTCCAATTTGACTGCTCATGTAGCTATGGATGACTGCTGACAACTATTCTCCTACTACTTGGGACTGTTGTGAGTTTTTGAATTTATGGGGAACATATTTCTTTCAGTCTCTAGGTTCCAATTCAATTTCTATATGTGTAGGATCTGATGATAGATTTTGTTGACTTCATCCATTGGGTTACATACTTCATTTTTTTTACTTTATAGACAAGGTACAAATGATGGGCAGTATCAAAAAAAAAAAAAAAAAAAAAAAAGATAAAAAGTAATTTTACTAAAATAAGTTTTCTTTTGCTGGGTTGGATGTGCAGGTGGTGTAACAGGTAATGACTCGGAATGAGAAATTGGAGAGCCGAGTTCCAATTCCAGTTTAGTTTGTTATATTCACTTACATGTAAATACCCTTGGGAAAGGAATGAATCCAATTCTCTCCTCCCCAGCTATGTTAAATAGTAGAGCAGAATCAGCTCTTCAGTCTTGGCTGACAACAAGTCTAACACAATTCTGAATTCAAAAGCTTTATGGAGGCCTGGCAAAACTCTATACCAGTGGCTCCCAACATTTTTTCTAGCCATGCCCCATCTAAGCATCTCTAAAATCCTTATGCCCCTTAATACATTTCAAAAAATGTATTAAAATCATCTCTGACAAAACTATGGATGCCCATTTCTGAAAAAAAAAAAAAAAAAAAATCATGTTAGAGTTATTTCCCCTGACTGAGCGAAATTGTCAATCTTGGCATAGCTTTTCTTTCTGGACGCACATGTCAAATTCTCATTATTGTCGCATTGTCAAAACTTTTCTTCTTCTAATTTTTTTTTATTTTTTTTATATATAATCAATTTCTTTTTCAGTGAGATACATACTGCAAATATTATTTATTATTTTTTTTAAATTCAAATTTAGGGACGGAAACAACAAAAATGGGGTCTTTCGGAAAATTCTCAGAAAAATATTTCATAACTAAAATAGTTGTTGTCATCACCTGGGTCAGTAGGTGTTAAAAATCAAAACAAACATTTACTATAGCAAACCTGAACTGACTTTAAGTTTAGTGAGGCTAGGAACCCTCAAACTGTGTTGAAATAAATCTTACTTGAAAAAAAAAAAAAAAAAAAAAAAAATGAAACATAAAATTTTATGTGTAGATAACAATATGGTTACAAAATTTTTGTCGTATAAAATTTGAATTATAAATTTATTTTTTCGTAATTTAAATGTTATTTTTATTCTAGAATTCTCCCTCAAACGTAAGGTAAAAAAAAAAAAAATTGGAAGTATATAACCAGTTTCACTTAAAACTACAACGCTATAGATATCTCCACTATTTCGACATAAATTTTCTATATTTAAGTTTAAAATGAATTTTTTACAACGAAAAAACATTCTTGAAGATTTTATTTTAGCTTTAAAAAAAAGTTTAATCATTAAATTTATGATTTCCATTAATTAAACAATTCTGGTGTATTTCAGATAGAAACTATATACATTTGATTGTCAAATTTAAAACCAAAAAGGTTTTGTGCGAAATTTCATTAAATTAAGTAAATGTGGAGTAACATATTTTAAAAAATTATATTTTGTTGCCAAAATTTTCTAAAAAAAAAAAAATTTCAAAAATAATTTCATTCATTTGTGAATAAGTCCTGAAAATTTCATTAAAATCGGACAATTACTTGATTTTTACAAAAATTTCCAAATCAATATGTTTTCAACGGAAAAAAATCGCCAAAAAAAAAAAAAATGTTATTTTCTGTGACGCCGCGATGACGTAAGCAAAAGAAGAATTTAAACAAAATTTCGAAATTTATAAAGGATTAAAAAATTTCAAAAAATAATTAAAAAATACTTTCATCTTTTAAGCATTTTGTTTGACGATAAAACTTTATTTTAGTTAAGTTTGTGGCATTTTTCATTACGCTATAATAGCGTAATGAAAAATATAGCGGCTATATGCTGTTTTCCCGCGAAAACCGTGAACATGCTTACGCTAGAACGATTTATATCACTTTTGCCCTACCGTCCGATAAATTCCCCTGACGTAAGTTGACAGATGACGTACATCATCAGTTAACTATGCTGTTTTTATAAAATATTTAAAAAATCGTTTGTCTCTTTAAAACTTCTAAAATATATATTTCTTTCTTTTTATACTTTTTTTACTCTATTAAAATAAAATGCCAAATATATCACGTGATTTAAATTTTACAGTTTGGGACAAAATGTTTAATCTCCTTTTTTTAGTGAGGATTCCTGGATTCATAATGAATATTTTAAAGCCAGGCTCGAGTATTTCTTCCGTTTTCATCTTCAAAAATAAACAAAGGCATTGTTTTTCTTTTGCAAGAACAGTTACTTTAATTTCCTTAAAAAAAAGAAGTGTCACAAATAAAAAAAATAATTTTTTTTTTTAACCAAATTTTGATGCAGTAATTTTAAGTTGATAATCGAAAAAAATAATTAAAACAAATATTGATTTAAAAAAGAGCCGCCCAATTACAAATTACTTTTTTGGTTTTTTTTAAGACAGAAAACATCATTATATTTCATGATTAAATTGTCATTATTTTATATTTTGAGAATCGTCATTTCCTTGTTTACTTAGTTAATTTTTTCACTTTTCAGTGTTTAGAAATCAGAAAAAAAATGGTGTTTGTTTTCTTTATGCAAATCAAGAGAAAGAAATGTTATACTTACTTATTTCAGTTTGTTTTCGTCTGCTATTTCTTCCGCTGAGCTGAATTGCAGAAAAATGAGAAATCGAAAATTTTCAAAAACTTTTAAATGGCTCTAAAACTATTGCTTGCATTTAGAAGAGCTAATGTCAAGGGAGATAATTCATGAAAAATTGAATTATGAAATGCTTCTTTCAGATTCTTTAACGTATTTCTACTACGAACTAAAATAAATGAATTGTTTCTTGTAAAACTAGTCGTATACATTCGCCGTAAATTACCGATAATTTCACAAGAACTACCTTGTCACAGTTTGTTTGTGTAAAAAGGGAATTGTGTTGAAAGAAAAAAAGAGATGCATTTTTTTTTTCCGAAATGAAAGCAAGAAAAACACTTGGACTGTTTTTTTTAAAAAAAATTTATAAATTAATAAATTGTATAATGATTAGGTTATTTTATTAGAAAACTTTGTAAAAATATTTGAAGTGAGGTTTTTGTTTCACTCATCATTTCAATAAAAAAAAAAAGTGTGTACAACCAAAAAATGTTGCTTTTTTTTTCCGAAATGAAAGTAAAAAAAAAAAACGAACAATTTAAAATTTAAAAACGATACCTCATGTTTTTAAATATTTGCCAAAAGTTGGGGAATTATCCGATTTAAACGAAATTTTCAGTACTCATACCGAATCAGTAAGTTATTCTCTATTAGAAAACCTAGTGGAAATAAATTTTGGTGGGGATTTAGTTTCTTCACTCAACCATCATTTCAATTCAATCGTGTTAATCTTACTTATTATAAAACGCAGATTGTGTGTGTGTGTGTCTGTAACGTTTATATATTGGATCGGATTTCCTACATTTTTCAACCGATTTCAACAAAACTTCACAGGACTGCGTAAAATTACCTTGCGGTGGTTCTGACAGCGCCAAAAATAGAAAAAAAAGCAATTGTTTTTGCACGAAATCAATTTTAAAACACGATTCTGTCGCCAGAATGAAAGGGGGGGCAACTCATATCGAGTTATTATAAAAGCCGAGGTTGTTTGTGTGTGTGTGTGTTCGTTTATATACGGGATCGGATTTCCTACAATTTTCAACCGATTTCAACAAAACTTCACTTTGTTTTTGGTAGGTAGTGTTTCTTATTGTCTTGCACACTTTTTTCTTTATTTTTACATTCAGAATGATTTAAAAATTCCATTTACAAGACAATTGTTTATAATAAAATTCTATTCAATCGATAGACTCATAATGATTGAAAACAATGTTTTTGTTTGAGTTTGGGTTTGACCAATTCATAAAAAAAAACAAAAAACCTAATTAAGACATGTGTGACCGTCAACCTTAAACAATAATCTTTGTCAATTTTATTTTTCAGTCTTTATGATGGTCGATACTTGATCTATCTCTTACTGTTACATCCCCGAGCAACGCCGGGCTCTCCTGCTAGTAGTTAATAATTAGGATGTGTTCGTGAATTTCTTTTTAGTTATAGAAATAAAAATCCCCGAAAATGTTATTTCACCTAAAAAAAAAAAAAAAAAAAAATAGAAAAATAAAAACTCAAAAAAATAATATTTTGAGAGTTAATATTTGCAAATTTTCTTTTTTAATAAAATTAAAATACATTATTTTCTTTTAGATATGACAGGGGGAAAAAAAAATCTATGCTGAATATCTATTTGTAAAAAAATCTTTCTGTGCGATTTGGAAATTTGTTTCATACAGTATCAATTCAATGTCTTTATCATTTTTTCCGTTTTTTTTTTTTTTTTGTAGCACTTCCTTTTGTTTAATAAATTTTAGAATCAAAATAAACTGAAAGAAAAATTAATTGGGTGAAATTAAATATTTTATAACATCAAACAGTAAATAAATAATCAAAAGGTATACAGATGATTCCACAGAAAGGAGACTGAACAAAATCCTACAAGAAATAATAAAGGAAAAAAGGGAGAAGAAAAAACAAAACGTCAATTGTAAGACGACTGTGAGAAATTTGTTCTGGCTTTCCCCACATGAAAGGGTTGAGGTTAAAATATGCGACAAATTGAATAAAAACAAGCAACAACGGCTTGAAAGGTTAGAGTGGACAAACTCTCTCTTTTAGGCGGAAGAATAAAGACTCAAACTCCTGCTCGGTGTGTAACAATAATAAAAGAAGAAAATGTTTATTTACATGCACGAAAAAAGGGAATAAGAATATACACAATACCACGAGAAAGAAAGCGAGAAAAAATTCCTTTAACTTTAAAGAAAGAAAAAATGTTCATAAAAAAGAAAAGGCTTGCTCAAAATATTTTTCTGAACGCCTAAAAATTCTTTAAGTGAGTAATAGATTGTTGTTAAAGGTTTTTAAAACTCTCACAGATTTGTTCAGAGTTCTTGTGAAGGTGAAAACTGTCTGGAGATATGAATTTCGTAGTTGAGTGAGTTTGTAAGCTGGCGACAGATATCTTCTAAGTGCATGGAGGCAGATCTCAATTGGTTTTTAGTAGTGTAACCCGGATATAAGAGAGTTGTTGGGACCGGAGAAGAAGTCTCTTATATCCAGGTTTGGTCTATTTTATATACATTAACACAGGCTCTAATTTGGGACCAGAGAAAATCTCTCTTATATCCGGGTTACACTGTAGTGGGCCGACGTTCTTTCTTGAATGACCATAGTAGGTAGTTCTTTCTTGAAACTCACTGCCTTTCTGTCACCGTCCTCAAGGATGGTGGTCAAATACTCACTGCCAGATAGGCGTAAATTATCCGTACTTATGAGGATAAGGAGACTAAAAAAATATCGGGGACTTTTCCCTCCCAAATTGTTATACAGTGTAACCCAGATATAAGAGACCCGGATATAAGAGAGATTTTCTCTGGTCCCAAATTAGAGCTCATACTTACCTAAACAAAATAGACCAAACCCAGATATAAGAGACTTCTTCTCCGGTCCCGACAACTCTCTTATATCCGGGTTACACTGTACAAATTTCCTGGCCATTTCATTTGTCAGAAAATATATTCTTATCTCTGATAAGAATCAAGGTTTTGGGAGCTGCTGTTTGGAAGCAAGGGTCTGACAAGTTGTGAGCATTACCCCCAGACTTCATGGCACCATGGTCAGGGCAATGGTGTTCAAATTCCTTTTTTTTTTTTTTTTACTTTCCAACTCTCTCGTTAGAAAATATATACTTATCTCTGATAAGAATCAAGGCTTTGGGAGCCAATTTTGAAAGCAAGGAAAAAAGTTGGGGTGAGGATTGGAAAATAGACTAGAACATGAACTTGTAAAATATTGTAGTCATGGTTCTCAAATTAAATTCCAATAAGACAGAATCTATGGTTGGCAGCAAGAAGAATGGCAAAACATGCAAAACAGAAAAATGCAATACTGAAATCCAAAGGTGTGTTGTTGTAATCCACTGCAGTTAGATCTCTTTGTGATTCACTCTCCATGTCGGCCAGATGTGAATGCCAAGAAAGCAAAACACAAAATAAAAAAGTCGTTTTTTGTTCAGGGGCTCTGAGCATCACATCCAGTCCATAAAACAAATCCCTGCAATGAAATACTATAGCCAATCACAAATGTTCTCACTAAAAAAAAAAATTAACTTGGGGGCCATTAGATTTGTTTAAGAGAAAGCCCCTTGTAAATGACTGACACAGTAGCAATGAGCATGCTACCACCATCACGATTGCCTCTCTCGTCACCACTGTGATCTCGCCTAAGCTTCACTAATCTTGCCCGACTCGTCACATGTAGAAAGTGGCTGACAGGCCAGCTTTGACACTACCAGGATTCTAGCACCAAACACCATCGTTTATAACACCTCAACACTGACTATCCACTCTAGGCCTCACTAGTCATCACATTCAACCAGATTTCAACAGAGACATTCTTCTCAATCAACCTTCACTATTCACTCCCAGCCTCACTCATCGACACTACCACAACCTCAGCAACCAACCCATCAATGCAGCACACAACAAATCAACCCACCACTGTGACCTCAATTGAACACCTTCCCCACCAACCTTTCTTACCAGGCAGTTCAGCTTCAATATCTCGGCATCACATGACTGCCAGTCCATCAAACACCTCACAGACGTTGATTTCAACCATGAAGAAGGGTGTGTGTCAAATCCCACCAATAACTAATCTGCTCCAGACATATCCTCTGCCCAACCAACTCAAGAAATCAGTGAACTCCCTAGCCTTACATCTTACCAATAGTAAATGAAGAGTTATATGTGAACAATTTTGCCACCTTTTAAACAACTATGCATATATTATGAAATTTGACAAATACACAGTTTAAACTCATAATGTTTCGGCCATTGTACACTCCAACCTTCTTCAGCTGTTTGGAATTTCAAACTGAACCATTTATTTCCCCCAGCATGGTAGATTGTTCTAGTTCCACATGCCATGCCTCTTCCAGATGTCTTAGTTATCTCCCTTTAACTCAATCTTCAAAGTTTTTGTTCACTACTGCAGAACAACCTACCGTGGTGGACAAAATAAAAGGTTCAGTTTGAAATTCCAATCACCTGATGAAAGACAGAGTGTACAACTGCCGAATCATGGTGAATATAGCAATAAAGATGAGGATAATAGTCCAAACAATTTAAATAATATCAATAACCTCCTATCAGTCAGTTTGTTTGATAAACAATAATTACTATGGAAAATACTACCAAAATACTTGCTGGGCATAGTTGTAGACCTACCTCATATCATTTTAGGGCCATTTAGAAAATAACAATAATAAATTCCTTCACCACTCCTGCAAATTTGAGAAAAAGATTTTCATGAGCCAGGATAAAATTATTTTCTAATCAATTCACAAAAGTTTACATCTCTGTGAAATTAGATTTTGGATCTTCCTTACGATATGAAAACCGAAGCATACTGCTTCTCAGGGTTGAAAACAATTTTGGAGGCCAGTTTGATCTACACAAGCATACACACACTCTCGTACACTAGAAAATGACAGACAGCAGCTGCTGACTAAGGCCTTATCTATGAATTCACAGACACATTAGGCTGACTCTTATAATGTAAGTCTGTCCACACATCTCACAACTCTAAGAACACTTAATTGCAGTATGTTTCTGTGTATAAGATGACCTTTAAATCCCC